GCCTGCATTTCGCGCACTCGACACGCACGATCTCCGCAGAGGGTTGCATTTTCGGTTGACGCTGTTCGTCCCACCCTCCGCCTTTAAGAGAGAATTTATAAAGTGGGGAAATGTTTTTCATTCATTAGGACAGCTCCATACTCACACTTGCCTACTCATTGTTGCCTACTCATTGCATGCTTGCCTACTCATTGCATGCTTACACTTGCATACTTACACGTGCATTACACTTGCATACTTTGACACTTGCATACTTTGCACTTGGATGCTTTCGCTCTTCCACTTACACTGTGTCGAAGTGTCAGTGTTCAAGGGATTTTCCGGAAGAACCCTTCGCAATGCTTTCGGGAATAAGGAAAGAAGGAAGGTAGGGCCCAAAGAGACCTCTTCAAAAATGGACACGAACAAAACTTGTCCTATCGGCTGTGCTCTTGTGAACTTTCTCCCTAAAGGGTTGCGTCTTTGTGAGTGCTCTCACCACATTCAACATTCTGAAGAAGACCCTGAAAATTCGATCCACATACCCTTTGAACCCTCTTCTTAGTCTCAATCTCCCAAGTTTCTGGTAAATGCTGCGTCGACTAGAGGCTGCTTGCCGTCCGCCGCTTGCAAAGTGCCTGCCACCAGGCTTCGGCTCACACATGCTTTGGATTAAACTCATACCTTCCTTTATAATATGTAAATATATACACATTGTTTAGCTTCTTCAACGTTGAGTGGTTATATATATATAATATATATATATAGAAGAGTCAACTTGCCTGTGGATTTCTTGAAGTGGTTGAGGGACTGGCGCAGGTTGTGACGGAGACCGGAGGCAGTGAAGATCTGCCTCTCATCTTTGGCCTCGCACTTGGACATACTTAGGGAAGCATCGTCCGCCATGCTCATGCACATGGTATCGTCATAAGGGTGAACAGGAGCGCTGTTCCTCAAGCGAAAGTCTTCTGCGTCACTGCTGGTAGGTTCCACCAACCAGCGGTCTTGACCACCATTGAGGACCTCCGTGCAGCTCATTGAGAGATCTGCTGGTTCCATCTTCAGCTGTAACAAAGATGACAAAGACCCATCCCCGCTCGAGACCATCGTTGGAAAGGATGTGGGGCATTCCACAAGGTCAGAAGGGTCCCAAACTGCCCATGAATTTGATGAGTTCGTGTAAAACAAGCACTGCAAAGCGCCGATTTGTGAACCTGGGGCGCACAAAAAGAACTCTCCCAATTTTGCTGTGCACGTGGATGTGCTCCACATTGGACACCACTTTGACTGCACACTTCGAGAGCATCTGGCACTCACTGCAAGACCATTCGGAGATTTTGTTACTCGTCCAAAAGGCTGCCTTTCCAAGCATCCATCTTGTCCTGAAACCATCGCGCCATCTCTTTCAAAGTCTACTTGCACGAAGGATGGCGCACTCCTTTCGGCAACCTTCTTCCACTTCGCTTCGTTCAAATGTCCCGGCACCAAATCAGACCCAATGAGTGATAAGAATGACAGAATTCAAACAGGCCATTCAGCCGAAATGACAAGAACACTACAAGCAATTCTCAGCCGTCGGAACAATAGCCTGGAGGTCTTATAGCTCCTTTCACCCCCCCCAAAATGTGCACATCCAAGATGCTTGATGCTGTTGCTCTTGGTACGCCGCATAGTTGGGGTGAATGATTTGCGCACATTGCCCGCAAGCAAAGCCACTCAGTCCGAACTCCATGTCTGGACCCCACCACTGCCCACCAGTACAAGAGATTGTGTATGTCGCATTCCTTGCGCCAAGAACTCCTTCTGGCGTCACTGCGGCATATCGTTCCTCCCAGCAAGAAAAAGTGAGCCGTGTGCCAGTCCGGAACTCCTGCGGCAATCTGCGCTTCTGCTGCCAAGCTTCTTCCTTCTCAACAAGAGAATACACACAGCCAAAGCATCGTTCGATCCCAAGCCCTCCAAGTAGAAGCTTCGAGTCGCATTGTTCTACCAAAGATTGATGACGACATGGCTTGGAGGCTCCGTATGCTCCTGTGCTTGCATTCAAGAAGGCGCGCCGTTTGCTGACAGCCCAGCACTTGGCACCATCAGCTATCCGGCAAACTTCTTCGTCTTCCTTCGGCACAGAAGCCAACATACCAGAAGCACTCTCGACCATCAGGAGGCTGTGGCAATCCTTGTATAGCCGGCGTTGCTGAAGAGATGCCGCGGTTCCAAACCACACGAACTTGCACCCGAAACTGAGTAAGCACTCGTCTCGACATTGCTGCATGTCACTTGGCTCGTACTGTGACACAATCAAGCTTGCTTGCTCACACATGTAAGAGCCCTGAGCAATTTCAATGACTTTCGGCCTGAACACATTGTTGCTTCCAGCTGGCACCGACAAAAAACTATCGGAGATGACGGGGGCATGGTTCCCCCATGACATTGGGAAGCAATCGCAAGGATGGAGCGAGAAGTCATTAGGAGTTGCAGTGGTAGGGTCGTCGATGAGAAAGGCATCTGGCTGTGAATCTGCATTCGTTTCATTCATTCCAAGCCCCAGGGTGGAGCACAAGTCGTGCTGCAAAGTCAACATCAAATCTTCACCAATGTGCGACTTTGCATGGCTCACCTTCAACTCCGCCTTACCTTCAGCAAAGGCCACTAGTATGGGAGAACTGCCATCGCGACCTTCCAAACAAGCAACATGCTCACCAAAGAGTTCCATGTAGCTTGCCGAATCTTGAAAATCCCAGGTCGCATTGCTCCTGACGCAGAAAATGAAACAAGCGACGAGGCATAAAAGGTGGTGGATGCATCAAAAAAAGAGAAACACAATGCTTCACCCGTACACGTGTGTGTGATGGATGAACTCGCAAAAAATAAGACTTTCTAGGAGCTTCATTGACCGCGAACTCTCCTCAACCCGGGTCCTGGTCAGAAGCAGCCCTTGAGCAGCACACTTAGCCTCTGGATCCGTCGCAGCACCTTGCATATAGAACAAATCTTGCGCAGTCACCACGACCTCCTTTTTGATGTATATCCAACTGAGCTTGTCGGTTTCAGGCTCTACAGCAAGTGCTGAAGGGCAGAACTGCCCCTGATATAGCCAAACAGGTTGTCTAGCCGTCAAACTCAAACAAGTCTTTCCCAAGCCGCAAGTGGAAATCTTCTCGGTGGCGGATGGCAACCAGTGGCAATCTGGAGAATGAGGGCCGCAAGGAATCAAAAAGTAGCATTTGGGAGTGCTGAAATTGTTTTCCACCCATTTGTAGACTCCGCAGTGTCCGTCTGCGCGGCAATCAGCACGGCACTTTGCTTCTGAAAGGTCATGCTGTTCTTGCATAATCCATCCGTGCACACTCTCAAGCGCCGGAGCCCAACAAGTAGAATCTTCTATGAAAATGTCGATATCTCCACGGATGGGAGGCACAGGAATGCCAACCTGCCATTCAAAGTGACCCAAGATGATACAAGATAATTTCACGCTTGCTCTTTGCTTGTTGGTCTGCAATAGGTCGAAAAGGTGTGACAGGCTGGCTTCAGGTGACACATGCAATGCGCCAGACTGGGGATCTAAATGGAAAACGCTGAAGCCTGAGGCAGATGCCTCGCCACTCAACTCATCGAAAATCACTTCGAACTCCTTCTGATCTGCCTGACATGAAGCTGAGTAACGAGATGGTGGCACATGTCCTCCTGGCAGGCCACCATCCATGGGCTGCATCGGGTTCAAGGAAATGTTGAGGGCCACAGCAAGACTTTGACGAGGATAGCAAATGGAACTCCAAATCTGCGGGGTGACCACCACGACAAAGGCCTCTCGGGACTCATTCGTTGCATCACTGACGCGGCAAAGACTTCCGCTTGCCTTTTCCAAGCCTGGGACATTCAATGCTGTAAGCCCAGGGATTTGTGAGGCATTTGTGGTATTTGGCTTCACAAGCATGGTGCCATTTCCATCCAATTCCAGCCATTTGCCTTGTTGTGGCAAACAAGCCACAGCCAAGGATTCAACGATCCTGCTTGAATGTTGGGCAGGGAATGTCTGGCTACGATCTGCTGGCACAATGAGCATTGAACTTTCCCAAGCCAGGAAATTGGACACCTCCACGACCAGCTGCGTAGTGAAGTTCATGCCCCCTTCATGTGCAGTGATGGCGCATGAAACGTGGGAACTTTCACTCCTCACTGGCCAGGTTGCTGGTGCATTGCTTTACATGTCTCTGTACGCGTAAACTATCGTAAACTGCTGCCAGAAGCAAGAAGAAAATCTGCTGAGAATAACAAGGGGCCATCTTTGTCCACATCCAACTGTGGAGCACCCGGGCACCAGCTTCAATGCGCCTTGAGCGAGACGTCTACACGGGTGATCGTGTTGGGTTGGTTTTGTTCTTGGAAATTGCCGGTAGCCCTGGCGAAAAAGGAAACTACTTGCATTCAGTGCAACAAACTCCCCTTTGGTGAACAGCAACGACGGACTCCGAAGGACTCCGAAATCTGTCGCAGGGAAGAAACGGAAGGGCCAAAACAACTTTCATTACTTGTCGCTCAATAAAACAGGAGAAAACAACAAATGGTTTTCCTCTTTTGTTAAATCTTCATCCTTTTGATCGTCTTTAGACCTTGTCTTTAGAACTTTGAACCCGTCTTGTTTCTGGTCTTTTGAATTTTCTTCTTCACCAACATAAGATCTCACGGGGCCTGTGTGGCCATCTACAGTCAAGTTGAGATCCAGCAACGCGCAGCTGGAATCCATTGAATAGCGCTCGGCCGTTCGTGGCAGTGGATGTCCGACGACATCTCCTCAGTGCTGGATGCCAAACAACTGTCGGAACTATTGGGCGAGGTCTTCCAATGCTTCTACACCCGCCGACACCCATACAATCTTCTCGTTGAAAGGGTTCACCTGGCGTTCAGTCCTTGTGCTTGAAATGAGGAGTATCTGTTGCAAACTGACCCAAACACTGTCTGTGGATGAGCAGGATCAACATGCGGCCGCTAATTGGCCACATGCAAACATGGCCAGCCCTAGAGAAAGAAGTGAACCCAGCTTTGCAACACAACAGCGCATGGTCTTCACAAAGTGGTGGTTTGCAGTATCTGCGCAAGTATGCCCTTTTCCGTTGTTTTAGCCGCTAGCCTTTCAGCTACACCGCCGACCTCACTACTGTAAGTCGGCTGTGGGCTACAAACACGCCTGGCTTGCAGCGCCGGCAGAAGATATTTGACGGACTCTTGTTGGATGTTGGAACTTTGCTCAGCGCACGCTGTCAGACTGTTCCAGCAGTTTCCAAAGGACTCTTTCCCCTCCCTCCTTATCTCAGCAGAACCTCCCAACTTTGCAGCTGATTCCTTGTGGAGGTTTTGAGTTGGTATGGAGGAGGCGGACGGAGCAAAACAAAACCCCACACCACTATTCGCCCTCTCTCACCCCATGCCAACCTTGTCTGAGCAGGATAAACCTGTGCCGCATGTGACACTTGTTGACAGCTGAGCCACCCAAAGCATTGCTGCTGCCTGGGAAGGCTACAACCAACATCTACAGGTGGCGTTTCCTAGCGACAATAAAAACGCAGTCGACACACGAGAATCACAGAAGCAAAGAAGAACGCATGTAAAGGGTATCATCCAAGGAAGGAACCAGCGTGGCTGAGAGAGTGCAGCCGATCACCACAAAACTGAACACTCATGGGCAAAGACGCAGCTAGATGGCAACACCGCGCCCAAAACCTGTGTGGCAGCGAAACATGCGCAGCAGTGCAACATGCAAAACCACAGGCATCTTCAAACACATGTGTTACATGTGCAACAAAGAGCCGCGGGTTCCAGCAGTCGCACAGCCCTCTGCGCAGCGCCCAAAGTTTTAGCGTTCCACGTTTCAACACCGACAGCGCGCATCCAGGGGCGCACCATACCGACAGCGCACCACCGCCAGCAAGGTTGACGGTTCACGGTTGATTTCCGCGGCCAGAGGGCAGCCCTAGCCTGCGTCCGAGCCTAGGAAACTACTACTTACACCTTACTACTAACTATTTAAGCTTACACCGACAGGCCTGAAAAAAGGACGGTCAAAAAAGAAGACGCTACTAGGGGCTCCTGGCATCGCTACTAGGAGCATTCTTACTACGAACGTTAACAAGAAGCTAAGAAGCTATTAGATGGGAGGCAAAAACACCATTCATCCCGAGCGTCTTTGGCCCAGCAGCATCGGCTCTGTATAGTAGCGGAAGGGTGTGGCTTCCCTCATCCCGCCACCACAAGCCTGAACAATTCACCACTGTTTTCCTTCCAATGCTTTATTGGAAGCACAGTTTTTCATATGTCTCTCATTCATTCTTTCACATTTGTTTCAAGAGCTTTCTTCTTTATTCTCTTCATTCATTCATTCATTTCATTTCATTCCA